GTGGATCGGGGAATACCCTTCCACTGGAACAGTCTTGAATCAAGAGACTGTTGCCGTGGCAACGTGAGAATGGGAATTTCCCTAGTAACAGACTGGATGTGGAGATGCTGGGAAGAGTGGGAATATCACCTTGGCGACTGTGGGAATGTCACTGTAGCAGTTGTTGGAATGTGATGGATAACTGGGTGTTAGATGGATGAATAGACACATAAATAGATGATGAGTTGATGCTGAGTAGATGCAGCAGGACAGTCCCCTGTGGAGAATTATTGATTTTTCATCCGTTACAGCAGGGAGTAAAGCAGACACCAACAATAAGTCCATATGAGGCTGTAATTGTAGCCATAATAGGGCTGCATGATGTGATTCAAAATCTATAAATCAAATTTCATAAGATGAATGTAGTAGTAATTGTTTTTAATACATCGATTCATTATATTCCCTTTCATGAATTCTAATTTGGCCTATATAATTACAGTATAAAAAGATTCTGGATTGTGAGTTGATTGGTTAAACGCCTGGTTAGATGTGCTTTGTATAGATAGACCAATTCAGTGATCGGTCGTTTAATCGGACCGATTATCTGGAATTTCGAGATAATGGTGTTCGGCTGGTGCCTGCACCCAACGTGGCCGATAAACAAAAAGTGTCTGCAGACAGATCCGCAGGCAGCCTTACCAGTGTGGCTGCTATGGAAACATGTTAGCGTTCCTGCTTGTGAGTTTCTGGAAGGTGATGAAAAAGTTAGTTTCCCCCTGTACTATAACTAGTGCACGTGTAATGTTTGCCCATATTTTTACAGTCGAAATTTTGACAATTTTCTCCTAAATGGAAGCAAATCTAATCAAAAACATCAAAATCATTATATATCATCAATCTGTCGCCCTGCTCTCTAAATATCGGCATCGGCCATTAAAAAACACATATCAGACGATCAATAGTGATTGGTTGTTTTCTCAGTTTATAGGGTTACAAGGCAAAATATTCACCTTTAAAGGACCAGTATGTATGATTCATTAGTGGTTTGTACTAGGGATGTGAATTTCTACCACTGAGAGTCGATTCGATACACATCTCGATACGCTGCAAGCAAAACGATACATTAACGATACAGTGGAGCCCTCTTGGTATCTAATGCGATTTGATTACCTCTGTTCACGATGCGTTGCGATTCATTGATGATTTACCAATAAATCCAACTTAAAAAGAAGATGCAATTCAATATGGTACAGACAGAGGATTGTTTTATTCCTAATAAACACTAAATCATAAACAAAAAATATTTGTATGTGTTTTTAATCTCATTCTCTACTTATACAATACTAAATGTGTTGTATTTGGGCAATTTCTTTTTGGCCTCTTAATAAAAAAACAAAACAAACACCTTTTCTCAGGTCCTTCACTTCATCATAGTGCAATGCCCATACTACTGCCTGCCAGACTGATGTGCTTGAGCTGACACTCTTCTAGTTGGCTAACTGAGCAGGGAGAGCAGAAATCATTGAGATTTATACAACAATATAACAGTTAAACAAAAATAAACAATTGCAACTGCTTACAAATAAGTGTAAAAAACTGACTGCCACAGCAACTGTAAACATCACTCACACTGAGGTATATCAACTAGAGGTCTTTCTTTTCAAAGTCCACACTACTCCTGCACTATTGTGTGTCGTCCAAGGTACGCTTAATATCTCCTCTTCACCTGTTGTGTCGCTTCCCTCCATTTTTTCTGTTTACTAACTAACTGCGTCTGCGGCGCCGCGCAAAAAGATAGTGATGGTGTTCAAGGCGCCTTGAAAACACGGGTGCAGAGGAGATAAACTATGTAATAATCAATGTAACCACAGGTTTTACCGATGCAGACACGCAAAGAAAGATACATTGCGCATTTAGCTGGCAGTTGTATCCGATGCACACTGAAGCTACCGGTGCACTCGCATCGCAAACGTCTGTCTCGGACCACCGGTTCAAATCGGTGAATCTCTCCATCCCTAGTTTGTAGTGGTGAAGTTGCAGATTACAAATCCCTTGTGTCAACCTCCCGTTCCAATTGTCAAGGTGAAACTACGGTAGATGGTCCGGTCTGACTGGACTAACATGTAGAAACATAGCGGACTCCTTAGAGAGGTAGAGAGGACTTGCTCTCTCTGTAGATAAAAACAGCTCATTCTAAGCTAACATAAACAGATGGATTCTTTTTTTCAGGGGATTATACACTTATGTATATAAAAACGAGGTTGATACAAGATCCATAATACTGGTATTTGGTTTATAGTCATACTACAGATAAATTCCGAATATAAATAATACATGTTGCTTCCTACTGAACAGAATGATCCACTGTGTAAGACGTCAAAGTGCAGAACTAGAGGTATGATTTAAAATTAGTCCTCAAGTGTAATTACTCAGAACAAAAGTCACAGTACAAGATGGCATTTTGAACTGTTTGCTTTGTCACTCAGTCACAGAGTGTATGGTGGCCAGGAAGGAAAAAGTCTGATAAAACACCAAAATCTGATATTGTGTATGTATATATATATATATATATATATTGTGTGTGTGAATATACAGTTTAGTTGTTATGATACTTGTTATAATGCAATAACCATATTTTTTGGTACCAACTAATATCTTTGAGAAATGTAAATGTTTTTCTTTTTTACCCTTTGTTAAAAATAAATCATGTGGCCTTGAAAATTCCCATCGGCTGAGTCACAACGCCAGCCAGAAAATGTGTTCTGATATTACACGGTGCCACTGAAACGCACCTGCTGTAATATATCCATATCAGACAGGGTTTTAAGCAAACAGAAAGACTGATGTATAAATGCAAAGCCAGGCTGGAAGGTGCCTCCAGGTCTAATCCAGTTCCATTTATGTAAGATACAAAAATACATTTTACATGATATTTTATAAATTAACATGTAGACAGAGACGAAATATAAAGGACATGACACATTCTTGAATGAGATAAGAGACAGTAAATTACATTTCCAGCAGCTTCCTCTGCTCGTGCGTCACACAAACAAGGGCAGAGAGATTGAAATGTGACTGGTTTCAGTCTGTCTGCAGCGGGCAGTGTGTGTGTGTCTGTTGTGCTCTGACAGACGGATGCCGGCCAGGTAAACTGTTCGAATCATAAAGCAGCAAGAAATATCACAGTTGTCAGTCAGAATCATTTTCACTTAATACATAAAAAATAATGTAGGGTGTGCTGCACTGTACTAGATTGCTAGATTTACGTTATGAAACCTGCACCTACATGTGATGTGCGTACGTTCCCTCTAGTAGTGGGAGAAGTGAGACTTATTATCGTCTGCACCACACAACATGCTAAGCAGTGTGTTGGGAGTTTTGTCAGTTCAAGTGCTGGTTGCAAGCTTCACAGCTCCCTCCTTCTCCCCCTGCTGCACAAGATGGATCCTTCACAAAGATGGAAAACACCCCTGCTTCTTTCTCTCTCACACACACTCTCTTCATAAACTGGGTCAGTTTTGGCTTTCTTCTGTCCCTGTGCATTAGGGTTTATCTTTACAAATTCACACATGGATGTTCAAAGGGGATTCCCACCCCGCTGCTTTAGCTGCGCCGCTAAAGTCACTGATGTGTGTTGAGAATGGGTGTGGTCACATGTAAGTGTTCGTGAGGATTAAATAATCAGTGTCACCACACCGACGTGACTGTGTGTTTGTGTGGAAAAAGTGTGCTGTCCTCCTACAGAGAGTAATGATGGAAAAGAGCCTGTCTGTACCTGCCGAAGAAGCAATAATATATCATCACCTAATGTAGGTGTCTCCATCTTTATCTAGTGACTCAGTCACTCTTTGTTCCTCAGCTCCTTCACATCCCCTTCGTCGCATACTCTCTTCTCATTCTGACCAGCTGTAGTTTTAGTCATTCTCTTTTATATCATTTTTTATTTTAATGGTGAGATGCAAGAAACAAACAGAGAGGCAAAAATGAGTGCCGTTTAATTGCAGCATTAAAATCTGCATTTCAACCATCGTGGGTTTATCAAAGAAATGTTGACAATAATGTTAACAGTCTCCTTCTTTTGTTCCTACAGTGTGATGTTTGAATGATGTCTGTGCAGAGTTTGACAGTAGAAGGATGTTTTCACATTTATCTGCTGAAAGTGGAAAGTTTCTCTGAGCTCTTTGAAAATCTGATTTGAAGGGGCGGGGTCTACGAGCAGGATTTGTGACATCTCAAATAGTTTGGAAGTGTATCCTGGTCCAGTATGCAACTTATAGAAGTGAAGTGAAGCCACCAGTGCACATACACACTGCTTGGATTTTTTATAGAGGTAGAAAGAGTTGATGCCTTTTTAAGGATTTTAATGTGGAAATGACACACACACATTATTATTCCAATCAGACTATTTTTATATGGTTTAACACATGTCTGCAGGGAATCTTTAATATAGGAAAGTCGTATAGTATCTGTCTTAAAACATTATAGATGAACTGGTTTAGGTGGGGAGAAATTATTGATCCACACAATTATCCACACAAAAGTCTTGATAAAGGGAATCATTCCAACAAACCAATATATTGCTCAATCAATAAATAGTAAACACAATATTGTAGCTACAAAGGCATTATGAAGCTCTAAACCATCAAAGGTTCAGAAATAATTTATCGATGTTATTCAAGTGGAACAATGACCGTGAAGGAAGGATTAGTCTAAGAATCCTGTAATGGATTGGATGTGCCTGACTAGTCCCTCCACAGGAAATCACTCAGGAGGCAGCATGTGGCCACATTGTTCTTTAATGCCAAAATGTATTGTATCTTAAATGTGCTGTCCAGGATTTGTGCAGAAATTGATTTCTGGGGATACATTTGAAGATAAATCATTTATAAATCATCGTTGAAGCTGACAGAATATTTTATTTTCATATTTAGGGGCTGTTTAGTTTATATTTGATCTGATAGAAGATCGGTTCTTTTCAACTGTTCTTCTCCTGTGTCCTTGTTTGTGTGTGTGTTGTGTAGAACCACAGCTGAAGGGCATAGTGACCAGGTTGTTCTGCAGGCAGGGCTTCTATCTCCAGATGGGCCAGGATGGAAGTCTGGACGGGACCAAAGACGACAGCACCAACTCCTGTAAGCAGACACACACTCACACTGATAGATTCCTCTTTATATTACAGTAAATTTGGGAAAATGTATACATTTGACAGTAAATATGATGAGAGTTGATTAATGAGCAAGATACCCTTTGTAAATGTGTATATAAGGCTGGTTAATCTGAGAGGAAAACCCCTGTCACAGCAGTGTGAGGTCTCTTTCACAGTCCTGCTGCAACCCTGTCTCCTAAAAATGATGTCTTTATACTATATATACTACTAATGTGCAAATATGGTGCGATAGAAATGTAATACCACCAACTGTAACCTAACTCCTAACTGTAACCAAAGTGCTTTTGTTGCCTACACCTAACCACAGATGGGACTCCTAATCTCTGGTGTCAAAGTTACACAATTTGTACGTCCTCCGTTCACTCAGACCGCCTCCCCATGACACAAGCCAGCACTTCCTATACTCGAAGAAACGTTGCTACTAAACACAAAACAGCAATTATGCTTCCTGCAAAATATGTTAGTCATATATAAATGTAATTTCTGAGCCATAGGGTTTCTTGCTGACTGCATATTTGGTTTATGCACTCAGTTCTGCCACTGGTGGTTGATTAAATCAGTATATTGACCACAGTTGTTGAACAGTAGAGTGACTTTGTATAATACAGTAACTACAGTAACGAGTCAATTGCAGTTTGCCTCAAGGGGTATTACAATCTGTATAACATTCAATGCCTTCTGTCCTTTGACACCCCAATAAAACAAAGTTTCAGTGGGGGAAAAAAAACTGAAGAAACTAACAGCTAGTCACCAGGGCCTTCATTTATCAATACAGCGTAACTAAAAGTGTTTACTGTTTGTGAAATCATTTAAAGGAAGAGTAGCTTTGTGATTGACAATGCACGGCTGTAAGGCAGTGCAACAAGTGGATGATGACAAGGAATGATGACAAGAGAAAAAGAAAATTGGTGCTCAAAAGAAGGAGAGTTACAGCCCCAAACCAGAATTTCACCGGAGGCACGGCAGCCTCTCTCAAGGCCAATTAGTTATTTTGTCCTCATGTGATTTTAATGAATGTCAACAGATGTTTTTTCTCACTGTGAAAAAGAGAGGCCATCAGGAAAGATCTAATGACTCCTAGTCATTATGAAAATAGTTAAAAAGATTAAAGTAGTTTGATATAAAGTTGTTCAAAAGGTTCAAGCTCCTCTATTTAGGAAATGATGAACATATTGTCCGGGTACACCATCTACCATTCAAGCATACTGATCTAAATGACTGACAATCGTTTTAAATGTTGGTGTTGATTGAAATTCACAATGTATGCAATCATAAAGACGGCAATGAGACGGTAACTGATTCCAGAGTGGCTTCACGTTGTACAGTCAGTGTGTTTCCAGAGAGCTGTTCGACTGAGAGCGACAAGTGGCTGCTCAGAGGATTTCGTTTTTCTAAGGCCGAGTTTATTGGACCTCTGCACCCAACACTGCCCTCAGGGAGGAGCTGCAGATGGATGGCTTATTGATTAATGTCGCTTTTGCTATATTCTGATGTGCTCGGCTGAGAGAAAATCAAATGCTAATCAGTAATCACTACAGCAGGCTACTCATTGGTTCAAAGTGTCCTTTCCACATTGGCGGAGCCGGTTGCTCTCTGCCACCCGCGTGTTGCAGCAGTGTCCCACTTGTTTACTACGATTTATTTATTTTTTTGGCAAATGTCTTCACATAAATCTTTGGCAAATGTCTTCACGCCACCATTTTTGAAATTTCTGCCACAGCTCGGCGTGTAGATTTAACAGAATTTACTGCCACTCACACTTGTTGCCAAGCTCCATTTTTCCATTTGTTTGTCAGTTTTATTCTGGCTGAGCTCTGTCGGCGGAGGGGGAGACATCAGTGACATTTCCTGCAGCATTTAAAGGGAGTGTTGTTACCATCTCTAATCAGCTGTGTGCATATCTTTATGTTAATGAAGGCTGTGCATGAGCATGATGGTAGTTTAGAAAGTGATATTTACCAGGGATGATTACTTGCAGGTGCACTTTTGCACATTTGATACATTTTATTCTGCTCAACTCTGAACACTATAAATGTTGGTTGTCAGAGAGATTCAACAACCATTTCTATGCAACCTTGATTAATGAGGGCAATGATATCCCAGGTGTAATCAGCCCTTGATTAGAAAGAAAACCAGCAGGGCTGTTGCTTCCAAATATAACGTCCACTGTCACGGCCTTCATTACAGGTTATTGTTAAGTTATGATTTCATAATATATCAATTACACAACAATATCTATGGGTATATTTCCTTTTGCATAAAATGAAAACCTGGCATGGACTTTATTTGGAGAATCCTCTGTTGTTGATCAGCTCATTATACTGTCCCTGGCCTGGGTGACATTGTCAAAGTCTGTTGAAAATATAATACACACTCTGGAAGGGATGCTTCTCACATTTATTTAAATTCATTAAAATAAATCAGCTTCAGCACACACTTTTCAAACAGTAGTCTTTGATTCAACCAATTACGATAGCCGTCTTTGCTTTAATTCAATTTCACTTTTTCTCTCCTTACTGGAGAGGGCAAGAAGTTACACAATTCAGCTTTAAAGGATTAATTAAGAGTGTTTAGACTACCATATCTTTGACACATTGTTGTGTAAGCTAATGCAGGCATGATAGGACAAAAGTGTTAAACTGAAGAAACGTTCAAAGTAAAAAGTAAGGTCTGTGGATTACCCAGTGATGTTCTGAGCCGCACAAACAAAATTCCGTTCATCTCCATCGTGTAGGGGTGAAGGCATAAGTTTCAGAGGTAGATATTTCAAAACCCAGCCACATGAAAGCAGCGGATTCTCAGACTTTGTCAGCGCCGAGTTTACTGAACATGCAACATCACGGCCTTTGCCAGACATCAAACTCACAGCATGAAACAATGAACATCTTTATACTCAAGCCACTGGCTGCGACAGCCGAGTTAAAACGAGTGAAGTCACAAACTCCTGAGACAATTACACCATCAATAATTGATGAAAAAATCCCTAAAATGGGACAAACAATATTCTGTATTTTATTGCTGAGTTTTGTGTATTTTAAAGGCCAAATAGGGATATGCATTGCAAATTAGCTTAAGCTCCAAATGCTTTGGTTCATGCTATACACTGTATATAAATACACAATAACACAAACAGATGAGCCGATGGAGGATAACCCCTGTGTTCTGCGAGGTAAAATTACTGTTTTTGTCAAAGGAGTCTGGTGGCATTGAAGAGAGTGATACAACGGCTTTATTTCCCTGTCGGAAAGAGCTGTGTGAAAAAGTCTCTGTTGGGACCCTTTCCATCATGTTGTCAGACACTTAGGATAATAATCTGAGTCTGTCAGGGGCAAAAACAAGCACTGTTAGTGGACGTACTTGGACGAGGTTAAAGGATTACATTCATTTTGGAGAATTTAAACAAAGAACAGATAAACACAAACTGGAAGGGATTTTTACCAAGAAGAAATAAGGGGAGAGGGGGAGGAAGATGAGACTACAACCCCTAGAAATACCTTAAAGAAAGAGAGTATACTCCACAGGTTGATCCTGACATTTAATGTGACCTTGCTGTATTCTGCTGCTACATGTACCACATTTATCTTGACAAATGATGATTTATTTGGAAAAGCTTTACATTGAAGCCTTATGTCCGAATCTTGGATGTACAGAGAGAGGCAGGACTCACCTTGAATTGAATCTGACATTGTTTCTGTCATAACAACTCGACTGCATGTGCTGTCAGCTGGCTAATCGATAACTCAGTAATGATAAGTGGCATACGGGCTACAGAGGTGTCGTTTTATCTGACCTCAGACGGAGACGAATTTCAACAACCTTGAAAGGTCACAGCTAATGATGGCCAATAATCGACACAAAATATGTCCCATTTTCACATCAGAGGAGCTAGATGGACTACATCCCAATGGAAATATTAACAATAATGATCATTTTCAAGCTTCATTATTGTCATTTTAGAGCAAAATGTCAATTGCTCTCTTGCAGCAGCTCCTCCATCTTTGTGTAATGTGAGTTTTGAAAGCTGAGAGGTTTTCTTCATTTGACCTGAAATGACAGTTCCAGTGTAATTAGAGTATTTGCTCATTTGTTCTGTTAATTCCATGTCAAGTCTGACTTTTTTCACATATGGACTAATATGATAGATGTTTTGAAGCATTTCTGATGAATTTCTGCCTCCAAAGGCTTGTTCACACACCTGCAAATCCAAATGTCATGCAAAACAACCACAGTGGTTTCTACTTCAAAACCTGAAAAGCTGGCACTCTCGTTATACAAGTTCTATCCCGATGCTGCCATCATGCTTTAAACCTTTATTGTTCTCGGAACATACAGAACACTTTTAAAGAGATAAGAACATTATTACAAAACTCTGTGAGAGCTTGCTGTAAACAACTTTCATTACATGATTTCCCTTGTTCAATCTCTCAATTGCTAATGCTCTCTATGGATACGGAAAAGAAAAGAAAAATAGTTAATATCTTAATATCATAACTGGAACAAATCCAAATAAGAAACAAGACAGTAAGGGCTTGCAGGAAGTGAACAAAAACACAAGTGACACTAGCATTGTCTTTTAAAACGCCTGCCCAAGGCTGTAAGGGTGTGATCAGCTGCCTGTTCCTTTACTGTCACTGACTGCTGTTCTTCAAATAACACTGAGAGCATGAGTGTACCTTTGAAGCACAGACAAGAATACACTGATATTAAAGTCTTATGGAAAAATGAACAGTGTCAAAATATACATAATATACAACGGGGCTCATGCAGAAACATTTTCTTTCCATTAAATTAACTTGTACAAGTATTTAAAGTGAGCTGTACAGTGACAGAGTAAAGAAGGAATGGTTTGACAGGAAGTAAGATGCCAAAAACCTGTCTTGCTAAAGGAAAGTGGACCATTACTGAGATGACAGGTGGTGAAGAGGATGGAGATGGACAAGAGAGTGGTGTTGTGGTGTCAGGTGCAATGGAGGATGTTTCCCATGATGCACATCGCACTGATAATGTGAACAGAATATTCATTTTACTCTAAGCTGTTACAGAGGGTCCTAGAAAGACCCTCTGTAGTGGAGTTTTACATGTGGGCTGGTGTCAATAGTCTATTTCTGTTGTTATTGGAGTTTATACCACTTGGTTTATAAGAGGTCAAACGGGGTTATACCACACATATATAATGCCACTATGAAGGGTAATGTACATTTAATTTACAGTAAGAAAGGCTGTCTATATGACTCGACTAATATAAAACATAATGAAACTGATGATAAGAATCAGTGTTATGTAACTGAGATACTGTATATTATAGTCTCAACCCTTCTGGTCCTCAAGAAAATAAATACTTCTTATGTTATTATATAAAATACCCTAATTGTATAGAGTTATGGAGGCAAATTAGTATGACGAGAATTTATATTTAAAGCAGTGGTCTGATTTTCCATCTGTGTTCTGCAAAGCTCTGAGTTTAAAAGCCCTGCAAGCATCCCCTGGTGGCTGAGCCACTTCTTCACCTCACCGACTAACAAAAGCAACTGAGCAACAGACCGACAACTGGCGTTTCAGTTCTCAGAGCACTTTATTTCTAGAAGAGGAGCACGCACACAGGCACAGGACACGCACACACACTAAGTTTGTCTGTTTTTGTCCTCAGCTCTGTTTAACTTAATTCCTGTGGGTCTGAGAGTCGTGGCCATCCAATCAGTCAAGACTGGCCTCTACATCGCCATGAACGGAGAGGGTCACCTCTACTCATCGGTGAGCACACACACACACACACACACACACACACACACACGCACACACGCACACACACCATTGGTAAAACACTTTCAGCACTGTTGTTTGGGAGAGGGATAGAGGGCTGTCCAAAATAAAACAAGAAAACTGCTAAATTACTCAAACCTTTGTCAAATCATTGAGAACAATATCAGAAACATGATTGGAGAATGGGAAGAAAGAAAGAGGTGGTGAAGAGTAAGTGGAGGAGAAGTAAGATAGAGGAGGCTGCTAGGCGATCTGCTTGAGTGGAATATGAATTATTTGCACGCTGACTCTTCAGAGAGAGTTCACACTCTTCCACTGAAGTCTCTTCTCCCCGTCATCATCCCTCTTTCCTCCCCTCCCCTTCGTTTCTTTTTTTTGGGGGGGGGGTTGGAGATGACAGGAGCCATGCAGAGAGGAGGGGAAAGGAGGTGGTGGTGGGAGGAGAAGGGAGGAAAGTAGAGGTAATAGAGAGAGAAGGGACGGGGGGATTTAAATGGATGGGAGGGGAGAAGAAAGGAGGAGAGGAGATGAAAGGAGGCAACTGAAAGAGAGAGGTGAGAGGGATAAAGGTGAGGCCAGGACAAATCATGAAAAAAGAAGGAGAGTGGAGAAGAAAAGACCTGGGTGGGAGGCAAAAGAAAGGACTTGAGGAAGAAGTAGGACAAGGACAATGAGAGGAAAAATGGACAGGAAGGAGGAAAATGGTTGTAGATAGTAGAGAAAAGGATGGAGAGAAAGGAGAAAAAGGTTGTAGACCGAAGAGGAAAAGATGGAGAGGAAAGAGGAAAAAACAGAGGGATAGACAAAGGGATGAGAGGAAAAGAAAGGAGTAATCGGGATGAGACAGAAAGGAGATCTGTGCTGCTCTGCTGGGCTTTCTCAGCCTGTCTCTGAAAGTCACAGATGCATGAGGGCTTCCTGTAAATAATTGAAGAGGGGGAGTCCCCCCCTACACACACACACACACACACACACACACACACAGACTCAGTAGAAATCCCCTCTAAAGCTGCGTAGAGTGAAAGTGAGGATGTTTGATCATGTTCCAGCTCTATGACTGATGTGCAGGCCGCTACATGATAACGAATAAAAGTATTACATACAGTGGGTCTAATTTATCATGATGTCAGCTGCACTGCTTGATGTTTAATTGGCTGCTGCAAAGGTCCTGGCAGGTATAGCGTGTTTTGGTTTGTGGTAAGGATGGGAAGAGGCTTATTAAACATTAAGAGGGTGCTATCACAGCTACAGTGTGTTTTATCATGGTCCTGGTTTACCGTTATGTGATTGTGTAATCGGTTGGTTCAGGTTTGCACGGACTGAGCAGCATGTTTATCGGACACAGTTTGGATCATGTCTCATCTTGCCGGGTTAGTTATTGTGGATGTGTGAGGAAGTCATTACAAATCAAATTCTAGTTCCTGTAGCTTCAACTAAACATGGTGCACTTGTCAACAGTGTTTGCTGTAACAGGTTTGCAGGTATGTCTTGAAGAAACAACCATCAGAGCAAAATGTGAACTTATTTATTTTCAAAAGAGTACTTTTTATGTAATGAATGTCATCTGAAACAAAACCAAAACAGAAGATTATTTTAGGAAAATTACAATGCATTTGTATAGTGTAAATCTAAAATCAACAGAGTAAATGATGAGTAAATCTGAGTCTGTTTCCTTCACAATGACTGACAGAGTGCTCCTACCCCTCAGATATAGTTTATAGATATAGTAATTAGCATCCATGGCACACATGGACTCAATAAATAGTTCCAGCTATTTAAACTGCACAGGCAGAATTGAGTGCTTTTGACTGGGGTCCCCGATATGTTGGTAATCATTAGGATCACATTGATTGACAAAGTCATCAGAAATGGCCTTGTTTCACAGCAGACATTTTTGCATTGTCATAGCAGGAAACTTGGGAGAGGTCCTGCTATTTCTGTTATTGGTTCACTATCACTGCTACTGGGACACTAAATGGAACTGAGCTGTCGTTACTGATATTAAGTCCACCTGTGTTTATCCTGCTATAAGTCAGAATCTCTGCTGTGCAACCAGTCCATTGCAGTCAGTTAGGGTGAGATATGACAGAAAGCATACCTCTCAGGTCTGGGAGTACTCCAGTCGGTAGGATGAAGGTTTTAATGAAACCTGCAGCATTAAAGTAATGGCACTCTCACCTGTCCAAATAGTCTGAGCTAAAGTAACAAATACGTGTGAGCAGAAACAAACAACTCAACACTCCTGGTGTAAGCACACATCATTGAGTGGGAACATTTTAATCACTCTGTGACTGCACTGTTATCATTGTAATCAGGACATGATGTACTGAATACTGAATACAGCGTGCATTAAAAGGTGTTTGTGGGGCAAATATGTAATTAATGCTGTTTTAGTTAATTGCATGTAATATTTGTTTGGTGGGTTCTATTTTGTATTTAATTTGTCTATCTAAAGGATGATGTTATTTCACTGTTAAGTCAAATGCAATTCACTCACAAACCGTTGTCAAATATATGAGCAGCTGTACATCAAAAATCCAAAATGGAGTTGCAACATCAAAATACATAGAAAGCCAGTTAATATTACTGACTATTCCAACAGCAAGAAGTCCAGCTCGCTCTTTGTATTATTTCACAATTGTATTCCTCTTCTCATCAGTCTGTTTAATTGAGTTAACTAGACAAGTTGCAGTTAGCAGTTACTTTACTATCCATCAAGAAAACACCGGAGGAAGAACCAGAAAACATTTTCTCTGTAAGATATGATCCAGTTTGACTAAAATCATTGACATAGTTGGTAGCGTAATGTTGCTTTGATATGAAATATAAAATGTTGTGTACCCTTAAAATATAAATGATTAATTCATTATCAAAATAGTTGACCATTCATTTTCTGTATATTCACTAATCACTACGATTTTGGTAGGATTAAACATAGTAATGGTAGTACTTATACATAGCAACAGAGCACTATCAAGATAATAATACCACTTTTACTTATATTGCCTACCTGGTCTCAAAAAATATTTTTTTCTTTGAATGGTACAGTCTTTGTGCACCAGACCTAGTTGAGCCTTAACATGTGTCTAAATTTATGCTGCTCTTCCCACAGTGAGATTCTTTATCCTCTTATTGCATTGTTAATGATATGCTGCAAACTTAGTTATACATGGTAGGACTATTTTATTAATCCCAGATCTCAAGCATCTGGCAGTGTGAGGTTGTGCATGTATGTGTGGTGTGTGCACGCGCCGGCGTGGGTTTTGGGTGTGCGCGTATGCAACTAACAGATGGCACAGTGTGCAATGAGCTGCTATGTGATAATTATGGAGCATGCTGGGGAAAGTGGAAAAAAAAAAGTGCTGATGAGTTTGGGACTGTGTGTGTTTATGTGTGAATGAGGCTAGGAGTGATGAGAGTGTGCAAAAGTGTGTGTAGTGCGCGCGTTGGTGTGTGTGTGTGTGTGCGGGTGCGGGTGTATCAGGGTGTTTGGGTAGGTGTAGGTGTCAGGATGTCAGCCGAGAGGTGAAAGAGGAAGTTGACTTTTTTAATAAAATCATTGCACGTTTCCTGTAACATATCACTAATGCTGCTACTCCTACTATTATTATTAACTTCTCCTACTACTGCTATATGAATAGGGTGAGAAAGACAACAGAAAATTATTCTGTTAGGGGTAAAAAAGCATTAATAAACAGTATTTTAAAAAGGCTTTCCGGTTGAGAAGTGATTTAAAAGGTAATAGACCATAGCTGTTGTAACATAATTCTCCAAAGAGACAAAAAAGAGGAACATTTGAGGCATTTTCTAAAGGATTTAATGAGTCAAACTGTTTGTGTACCAGTGTGATCATGAGACGTGTGCTCGTGTACAGCAGTGCCCCCCTAAAATCTGCTTGTTTTTGAAATCTGAATTGTGCTGACTGTCCACCAGCCAAGATTAGAAATGGAAATGTATTCCTCCATGCCAGCTCCTGTGAGTCAGACTGTTAGAGCCCCAGTCTGTCTGCTCGAGAGGTCCTGGGAGCCCAAACACTATCAATTCAAGTCCATCCTCCATCCATCTTTTTCATCCTCTTGTTGCTCCTCTGTCCTCCCTCATCGCTTTTTGTCCAGGTATCCTCAGGTCATAGAAACATCTTAGGGATGGCAAATAGCCTGCGGTCAAATGTGGTCCTCAGCAAAAACTCTTTTTGTCTCCTCAGAAGTTTCGGTATGTTTCAGAAATCAAGGAGTATAAATCCAAATTCCATTTAAATATAAATATAAATAGCCTTAATTTATCCTTTGATCATTAACTCTGCAGTGTGGAGGAAACTGTGGACAGCTCCTGGTGCTGAAAAAAGTCTGCTACAATTGCCAGATGAATAATATAACCCAGAAAACAGTACATTTTACTAAACAATATGGTGGCATGTTTAATAAAAACAAATGTCCCTTTTTTTTTCACAACCCCAGTCAACAATTATGTAATAAAAATATAGTCATATAATACTTAAGTAAATCCTTCATCCAATCAGCCCAGTCATATTTCATTCTTGGACTGCTACTAAGGATTATTTTTAGTATCGATTAATCTGCCATGTGTTTTCTCAATTAATCAAGTTATATTATATTTGTGTATATATTAGGGATGAGTGAGTATACCATTATCTGTATGTGTTCAGCCAACTAAATTATCTGCATCCATATCCATACTCGGAATGGGCAGGATTTAAACTGGAAGTGGGCGGGACTAACCAGAAGTTGTCAGAGCAATGTTTTTGATCCAAGAGACCTATTTACACTTTTGTTTTATAAAAGTTGCAATATTAACAAGGCACATTGAATCCTCGTACTTGTAAAAAGCACATTATCTGTACCGGATATTCATACTTGCTCAACCCTTGTGTATATATTATATTGTAAAGAAAGGGAGATATTTGCACATTTTAATATACGACCCGAAGAAGCACAAATTCCTTGCATCTGAGACACCAGAGAGCTGTGTTT